TGCTTCCCCTACTTTTTGGGGAGAAAGGGGTATCGCATGGTCAGCCCCAGCCTCTCTCAGAGGCAGAAAAGTCCCCTACCTGCCCCAAAAGAGGGGACTGGCCACCCCAGCCCCACTCTGAGGGCATCACCGTAAAGCCCTTCATGCACCCAATGTGACGTGCTGGTGTTTGTCCCCAGCTCTGCCCTCTTCACTATCCAGCTCTCCACTGGCCTGATCCTGGCAGGACTTTGAGACTTCAAGGAAAAAGCAGGATTTCCAGCCAGGTGAACTTTTCCCATCTGCAGGAGCCATAAACCTATGGCCCCATCACGAGACTCGGGATTTTCCAGCTCCCCAGCTCATGCCATAAATTGTCTGAATAACCTTATCTGCTCTAGCCTGCCTCTTCCAGAATGGATGGAGAATGAGCCCACCTTCCTGGCCACCCCCCACAGGGTTCAAGCATCCCCCAAAAAGCCAAGGACAATCCCCGGTCAAACGACCAAGCCCCACTGCATGCATCCCATGGGGTGTGGCTGAAAAGTCGCCCCAGGGCCCCTTCCACGCAGCTTAACCTCAGAAAATGCCCTGTGAGAAGGTGCTAGGCAGCGGGGAGTTTTATTTAACGGCTCTATAAAACAAGCTGAGACAAGCCTTGCACACAGGCCCCTGCCTGGGGAGCAAAGCGCTGACTCAGGCATCCTCTCGCGCCCCAGGGTGCCACTGCTCGGAGAGAAAATGCCTTCTCTGGGCTTAAAAGTTAAGCCCTGCACTTCAAAGCATCTGCACACAATGCGCATGAGGATGTCTCCAGCCACTCAATCATATCCTGTAGCCCAGAGGGTTCATTTGCCATCCTGGCAAGGTACATCAGCCATGAATGCCTGAGCTGCTCCATCTCAGAAAGTAGCAAAAAGCCAGCTGCTTTAGTGCTAGGCTCGGCTTAGTGAGCTAAACTAGCTCCTGGAGCTCAGACAGACCCCGGGGACAGCATGGGGGCTGCACAACCAGCCCTGGGGAGGGACAAGGTGGGAGAAGATGGCTCCTTCCCAGGGCAGCAAGCTGCTGGGGCAGCTAGCCCTATTCTCAAACCATGCTCTGAGCAGCAATGCTGATGCCCATGGGGTAGGGCTTAGCCTTTCACTTAATCCCCCCATCCCATAGCACTGGTACCAACAAGCAAGTGTTATATCCAGCCTGCAAACCTCGGTGCGGGCTGAAATGCTTGGTGCTGCTCCGCTGCCTGCCTCCTGACCAGCCGAGCCGCTTTCCCTCCGCAGGGTCCTTGCCCAGAGGATGGCTGCACCGCTCCAAGGAGCCATGTGATGCTTTGGAAGCTCCTCTGCATTTTTCTGCTGCTCCAAGCCATCGTCGGGAGGCCAGCAGCTGAATGTGGATATTTGCTTCTTGCTTAAGGGCTCAGTTGAGTCCAGGATGGCCACATGCCAGCTAGGGCAGATAGCTCCCAATTAGCGAGAAGGCTGGAAGGTCTCGGGTCTGCTCATCAAGGTGAGAGGTAACACTGAGCGACGGCTGACGCTCCTGCCTCCGACAACCTTCAGGAGCAACCTTTGAGCACAAACATGCCTGGCTCAAATGGAAAAGGCAGTGCCTTGAATTCTGAGTTTCGAAGGCGGAATAACTTTACTGGCTTCTAGCCTAAAAATGTCACAAATGACAGTGAGAGAGACTGACCCCCAAAGGAAACCCTTGTCTGCTGCAATGCAGGAAACTCATGCCAAGCCAAAAAAAAAAATCCTTGGAAGAGACCACGGGAGCAGGTTTGTCACCTCTCCAGTTCCTCAGTGGGAGAGGAGTGGAAAGCGTGAGATGGCTTTTTTCCCCAGGAGACAGCAATGGGCAGGTGACCATCCTGGTTTGCACCAGAGGACTCTGGGTGATTCATACCACTGGAGCCGCCTTGGCACATCCTTTCACAAGGAGGGTCCCTCTTCCAGGCACTCATGAGGCAACTCAGCAGCTTTGAAGAGCCTTTTCCTGGATGCTTCCCTTCCCTTCTCCTCCTGCCAGGGCTCAGCCTGGTGCGCGAGCTCCACCGCGGCCATAGGCTCTCTGACCTTGAGGCACCCTTGGGTGGTGGCACAGACGAGGCATCACACCATGGTTTGATCTGGTGATGCCATGCTGGATCCCACTGGGGAAGGCGGCAGATCAAGAAGGGCACCCCCAAGGGTGCTTCCTGGATGCACCAGCAGCACTGGCAGATGGACCATGTGCCAGTGCTGGGTTATCCCCCAGCCCGGTGGTCCCAGGCAAGGGAGAGGAAATGACCTGGGTCCTTCCGTATGAACGACAGAAGCTTTTGGAGCTGTTTGCCTGTTATTTTAAAGGCAGTTTGTGTTTCCATTTAGCTCCACCTTGTCTTCTCTGGCAAATCATCCGGAGATACCCAGGTTGGGACCGGGGTCACTGATGGTGAGACCACCCATCACAGCCCCCACCTCTGCGCGGGAGGGCTGTGGGTGCTTCTCCCACCCATCTCCCAATGGCGGGCAGGCACCGGAGCAGCTCTGCACATCTAGGGGACCACACGTCCCTACAGAGCAAGAGACCTTCCCACCTCCACGGGCTCCTGCAGAGATCTCTGCTCAAACTGTGCTCCCGCCCTCAAGCACACAATGTACCATAACCTCTGCTTCTGGAACTTCGAGGACGTGTCAGGAGAGAGACTAAAGTCCTTTCAGAGTCAGCAACTGGGCATGAACAAGCCTGAGCTGGGTTACAAAACAAACTACCTTTAACCGTAGACCCTCTGCCTGACCGCACGGACCTTTAAACTTGCCCACTGGCAATGTGGTGGTGAAAATTGCTGCGCTGTGCTTTAATAAAAAACCCTGTCCCCCATTTGCCTTTCCCCTGAGCACTCATTCTTTGACAGGAGATAATTGCCTAAACTTAACAGGTCTATTTTCCTTCCCTGCTTTGCCATTCCTGGGCCGGCCGGCAGCAGAAAGGGCAGCAGTGGTCCCAGAGGGGAGGGGAAGATGATGGATACAACGGGAGTAAAGGGCCTGTGCCAGCGGTGGGGGAGGACCACGCTTTAACACACACCATCCTGGTCTCTCAAGCATCCCCCTTGTGCTCTCCAGCCCAGGAGGAAACATCACCAGCATCTCCCAAGTCAAACATGAAGCTGGCTTCTCACCCCACTGTGTGAAGCAGCTGAGCTGGCTTGCGGACAGGGGAGGGATGTAACGTGGGAATACGCATACGGCTTCAATTGGAAAAGTGGCTAAAAATAGCACCACGGGGCTCCCACGTTCACTGGGTCTCTCCGGCAAAAGATCAATCTTTTCCGGAGAGTCCTGTAAAACTTTTCTGCTCCATTCCCATCCTGCTTTTTCTGGAGGCAGCAGAGATGTAGTTACCAGCACTTCAGCTGCCATCAGTAGGTTTCAGAGTTAATCACTAGTACCTGAAGGCATGGCTCACCCCTCCCAGAACCACTGCTTTGGCTCCAGACCTGCATCTACCCCACATGAGCCACAACGTGACTTGACAAAGGACAATCGTATTTTTTTTTGCTTTACCGGATTTTTTGGGGCATGAGTCACCGTAAAAGGCCCTGAGCTGCCGTGAGCCGGTCCCACTGTACCGCTGGCTGGCTGCTGGGAAAGCCAGCTCCGCCAGCTAAGGCTCATCCTGCCAGAGCCGGAGGGAAAAATTTGAGATGGCCACAATACCGGAGAGCTTTTAAATGGGACCCTGCCCAGGCTCGCTACTGCTCTAATTGCCCTGCTCCCTTAACGAGGAATAAGGCTGCTTCCCCTGCCAAGGGCTGCTTGAACCTGGGGCTGTGCAGACCAGGGAGAAGAGAGGGGACGCTATGAGTCGGGTATTTTCTCTGTCTTATTCTTAGATCCCCATACGATTAAACCCAGGATTTCCAGACTCCTATCAGAAGCAAGGAAACATATGCTTAGCTAGACTTTTTTTTTAGGGAAATGAAATGTATTACATTAAAATTTAATACAAGTGGAGGGAAACCTCCGAAATCCTTGCGCTGCAGCCCAAACACTGGCTGCAACCCTGCCCTGCTCACGTTTCATCTCATTTTTGCAACCTGCCATGCTTCATCTCGATGTTCATCGCTCACGGGATGAATCCAGCGGCAACTTTTCAGTGCACTCTCAGGCTGCCTGAAGACTTGGGCACAAACTGCTGCCCAAGCGGGTCAACTCAACACCCAGCTCGGCTTAGCAGATTTTGAGAGCTCTGCATGCTTTATTTTCCAGTCACAGTGATGGGACCTCCCCATCAGTACCTCATGCACCCCTCCACCTTCGGAGAGGCAGCTCTCTTCTCCCACGGGAGCATGGCTTGCATTTCATGCTCTTCCCATGTTAATTTTGATGTCAGCTCCCTGAAAGCAAGGGAGAAAAACCCAGGGTCCTGTCCCCTCCTCCCACCAACCTCCTCACCGATTTCTCCACCTCGCCTCAACCGTTAAGCTCATTATTTCCCAGCGAGCCGAGGAATTGGTGTCCCTTGCCCCAGATTTCATTGCATTAAAGATGATGCCCTGCCAGCTGCCACGACGCTTGGTTTTCCAGCCTCCGCTGCAGCTCCTTAAAAAGCCGAAACAAAAGCTACCAACTCTGAGCATTGAAACACACAGCTTTGGAGGACGAGGCTTTTGCTGGGCGAGCATCATGCTAAGCCAGGTGGAGGGATTCACTCGACTTGGCACCCTGAGCCCAAGCCTGTCTTCATGCTCTGGCTGGTCTAGTTGTTTCTTAACAAAACGGGTTCTGACAATGCTATTTAATAAGGAGCTACTTTGCCTCTGGGGATGGGAGCGAGAAATATGGTGCCTTGACATGTGAAAGGCAAGTCCCGTTTGCTCTAAAACCGTCTGCCAGCGAGCAAGGGAAGCTTGTAGAAATGGTTTTGGCTCCGAGGGAGCTTGGTGCTTGGGCTGCTCGACCCTGTCATCCCCAGCCCACCCTGCCCGGGGGTGCTCGGGGGCTTCGGTGAGGCTGGTAGGGTGCTCTGACCTGATGATGAAGGCTCCTCTGGTCTCCAGGAGTTTCCGTTCGCTGCTGAAGCGCTTGAGCAGATTGATCATGAACTTGTAGAAGTAGGAGTTCATGGTGGGGGTGGAGGGTGAGCACTCCAAGCTTTTCATACCTGGGGAGGCAGGGGAAGGGGAGAGCAAATTAGAGCTCTTGCCAAAGCAGTCTCGATTAGAGAGCAGACACCCAAAATATGGTCCCAGCACTTGGCAGAGGAGTGTTGGGGCATGAAAAGAAGATTTCCAAGCCTCATATAACTGCATCTGCTAAGTCCAAGCAGAGTCAGCCCTGCTGCAGCTCTCTCCATCCCAGAGGAAAGCGTCTTGTGATGGTCCCAGCCCCTGAAGCAGCACGTGGGGATGAAATGGGCTTTTTGGGAGATTGTCCCAGAGCCGTTCAGCTTCAGTAGCTGATAGTCGAAGGGTGCCCGAGGCTCTAGATTAATAGGCAATCCTGTCTCCGCAGATACGGCATGTACACTCATCCCAAAAACCAGATTGCTGGTGAGCTGAAGAGCCTTTAATCCAGCCCCACATGCCACAGATGCCCCGAGCCCAGCGTGCGCGTAGCGGCAGACACACACGTTCAGCCCTGGCTCACGGCATGGCCACCTGTTTACGCTCAGTGGCTGCAACAACAAGGGCTCTCCCTGCTGCAAGGCACCCACTTGGTAAGATGTGCTAACTCGGTCCGAGACTATTTGCAGAGTGGGTAGCCAGGGCAAAGGGGCCTCTCCCAGCTCAGGGTACGCAGAGAGCATTAGAAAAAATAACCCTTCAAACCCACAAGCTGGCAGGTAAAGATTGCTTTTCCCACAGTGAAGCTACAAGGGAGATGGTTTATTTAGCAGGACAGCAGTCAAAACAAATGTCTGGAGAGAGGGTTTTAAAGATGAGTTTGCAACAAGGGGAGTTCTCTCCCTTAATTTCTCCTATGGAAAGACTGTGTCTAAGGAGGGAAGCCGGCACACATGAGCGCCCCAAAGGTTATTCCCCCCATCCCAAGAACAGTCAGTATTTCCATCAGATCACTGAAGGAAACCTGAAGAGTTTGATTTATGTATGTTGTCTGCTTCTACCGAGACTCAGCAGAGCATGGAGCGGCCAATTAAAGACACAATCAAGCTGCCAAACCCCAGGAAAGCTGATGGAAAAGCCACTGGACTGTTTTCCACCCTGCCTGTCCTGGTGATATGCACAGATGCAGACATGGGCTCAGCCAGGGCAGGTTCCTTGGGCTTGAATTTAGCATCCAAGAGAACATACACAGCCAAAGAAAAAGGAAAATAAAATACGAGGTCATCTGGACCAGAACCTGGTGTCTCCTTCCTGCTGGAGCCATGTGTTCACCCTGCCTTGGTGCATCCGAAACCCCAAACCAGGCTTTGAAGCAGGCATCTCCCAGAGCACAAGTGTTCGCTGTAGCATCGTGTTTCCCCTCAGCTGCGGGGAAGATGATCTGGGCAAAAAAAATAGGATCTAGCTGAGCCTGACGCACTCCAAAACAAAGGTGCGTTTGTTCGAAGGCAGGGAGTACCCAGTGTGAAAATACAGCCGTGCCTCATGCATTGTCACTACAGCTGCTCAGCACTGCTCAAAAGTGGGTTGAAAAGAGACACGGTCCAGACAAAGCAACATGGAGCAGCTCTGCCTTCCCACCATGCTTGCCTGCAGCTCAGCCTCGCATTCCCCAGCCTGTAGGGCAGGCAGAGCCTCAAAAGCGAGCACTGGTTTTCTTTGTGGTGCCGAGGGTGGGAAGGGGAGGTGAAGAGCAGAAGAAAACCATCTTTCAAAGCTGCAAAAGTGATACTTTTTTGTCCGTTTTGTCAGCAGTCCCAAGACATACAAACCAGAGCTGCGCTGCAGCCCAAGAGCCAGCAGCAGGCAGGACATCACACCTTCATCCTTCACCAGCTAGTAACGCCCCAGCGCTGCAGCTTGTCCAGGGGAAGGTCTGACCTTGGAGTTTCTCCCTTCTCAAGACCCCAAAAACTGTCTCGCTGACCCCCACGGCGTCAAGGATGGCACTGCTGCCAGGGCTGGTCTCTCTCGGCAGGAGCGCAGGCAGCAACTCTTGCCCAGTGCCTGCAATGGCTCTGCTGTTCCTCCCTCCTCACGGCCAAACCAGCTTTGTACCCTACCACCGCCTCGCATGCCTTCCAGTGACAGCCCAAACCGTTACGCATCCTAAAACACAGCCCAAGGGAAAAACAGGAGGAGGCAGCAACTTTTCTGCTCCCTGAAAGGTCCAGCGCTCCTGTTGCTGGGGTGTCAGGAGCCATGTGGTTGGGAACGCTGGTGCAAGACAGACCAGCCAGAAGCACCCTCAGATCTCTGCTCCCGGGGTGGTGCAGCATTTCCCGTATCTCAGAGTGGAGACTTGTCCGGACCCGCTGGGTCAGCTGGGTGTCCAAAAGCCAGAATTGCCTCAGAGATCAGATCCCAGCTGCAATCTGCAGGATGATCAGCCTCCAGCCTCTGGTCCTGCCGTTTTCTTCCTTCAACTCGTTCCTGAACCTCTGACCCTCCTGCCCAGCCCGGAGGAAGCCAGGCAGTGGGTCAGGGAGCTGGGAGCAAGGAGGGGCCAGGACACAGACAGCAAAACAAGTCTTAGCCCTGGTTTTTTTAGGAGAGGAAAGCATGATGTGAGGGTCTGCATGCCCCAGGGAACAACAACATCATCCTTTGCCTCTGGGAGCATCAAGACCGAACTCAAAAGGGATCATTTCTCCATCCCTTGCCCACCCAGTGCCCAGCAGCTATGCCTGTGTATCCCTAAGGAAAGTTTCCACCACGCTGTGCTGGAGCAGCCTTGCCAGTGCTCTCCAGGGATAACACCAGGGGTGAGAAACTAGCGTGTAGGAGTCTCCCAGGCTGCAAAAGGCTCAACCAAATTTCAGCTGGAGTTTAAAAGGGCAATACTTCTTCCAAGCAGGCAAAACATCTCTCTTGCAAAACCTCCCAGTCCTCCAAACTTCCTGTTTGCTCTGCGTTTACAGGATGTCTAGGAAGCGGCTGGCACCTCGTTTGCCATCGTCTAACCCTTCCCGGCATAGCCCGGTACTCAGCTCGTCGCCCCATGGGTTACGGCTCAGCTCAGCGGCATCCCCAGCTCGACAGAACCGTAGGAGCAGCTTGTCAAGTGTTTCTATGAAGCATGAGAGACAAGCAGAGAGAAGTGTTATGAAAACTGCGGCTTAATTAATTGAAGCTTGCACCTCTCCCCCTTCCCCCGAAGCGAGACTTTGCAGATCCGTAACCTGCCAGATCGGCTGTTAACGTACCCGGAGCGGGGCTGGTAGCACGTCACAGCTCTGCTGCCTTGGTTTTTTTTTTTATCTGGCATGGAGGAGGGAGCTGGAAGAAGAAAGATCCCTGCTCAGAGGAATGACGAAACTCAGCCCAGATATCAGCTATAATAGGAACAAATGGGAATTTGGGGCCCATGGGAACATCAGAGCAGTGAAACAAGTTGGTAGAAACAGCCTGCAAAAGGCAGGTGGGAATTGCAGCTCTGTGGCCGAAATGAGTCCGCACCAGCCAGCCAGCCTGAACTCTTCTCAATGACTCCTGCATGCTGGGATGCTGGGCTAACAAATCCTTTTCTGAGGCAAGCTTCACAGCCTGGGGTAGAGCCAAGGACATGAGTGGGCTTCCTGCACCACCTAAGCCGGCGCCAGCATCTGTATCCCGTTCCCCCCCCCGCCGCCATGGGTGCTAGCTCAAGTGGAGTGCGGCAAACGCCTGCCGAAACCCCAAGCACTCACCGGTGGTTCATGCCATTCCCATCACTCCCATGGCCACACTATAAATCAACTGAGACAGGCAATTAGGGATCTATATTAAGGCCCTTATAAATATATATTGTATAGCAGCCTGGAACATTCTGGCTGTCTGGCTGCTTGATCGGCTGAGCTGTCTCGAGACCTTCAGTGGCCAAGGTGTCCCAAGATTGCTCTGGGGGGGGCCTGGCAGACTCCGACACGAACTTGGCTTTTCCTACCTTGGCTGCAAAGTGCCAAACTTCACCCTGGCATAAATGCAACTTCCACTAATTTACCATAATTGGTTTCAAACTGGTCTTAATTAAAACCGGTGCAGACTTGCTTAACTCCATTTAAACCAAATTTAAATAAGATTGTACCAGAATTGATTCCTTTCCGAAGCAAGCTAAAGCTGGGTAAGCTGTTTAAAGAGTATCCACAAGGGCATTTGCGGCAGTTCAGCTAAAATGATTTACCGCAATCCCTAATTGAAGCAATTTCAGTTCGGATATAGGGAGGGCAAGCTAAGAGCTGGTGGGGCCGAGCATCCCTCGCACCCGAGCGCCTTCTCTGGGGCATCACATTTCCAGCTCAGCACAGAGAAAGATGCCCCTTGGCTCCTCTGGGAGCAGCCGGGATAAACCCGGCGGCAGCCGGAGCTGGTCCGTGAGCCTTCAACCGGGGCTTGGCTCAAGTGCCGGTGGCGTGGGAGTCGGCGCTGCCAGATGGTCCTCGGCGAAACCCCGGGCGGCGACGTGGGAATCTGCGCGGCCTCTCCCTCCGGCAGCCTTCCCCAGGATGTTTTGAATTTTAGCTTTTGCAAACATGGGGCAGTGAAGCCTCGTGGAGCAGGATAAAAATAGAGCCGTAAAAAAGGCAAATCCTCCCCCCGCCTCCAAAAAACCCGGCACAGGGCGTAGCTGGAAACAGATGCGAATGTGTCGGCAGCTCAGCTGGGCTCTGCAAAACCTCCGCTCTCCCCTCTCCAGAGCGCAGGATGCTGCTGAGGAAATAAAACCACCGAAATTATGGATTGCACAGCCACGGGCTGTGCTCAGCCTGCTTTTGCAGGGCTGCCCGGGCAGACGGATGCTTCTCCCTTGCCTACCTGGCTAAAGAGCTGTGGGTTTGCAATTCCTGAGACTTCAGCATCTCGCCAGAAAGGTGTCCCCAGACGGGTCAGGGTACGTATTTTGATGCCAAATGAGGCTTTTGCTGCACTGATCCTCTGGATCCCCCCACTCCCACACAACGTCTGTGCTTGTGCCTGCCTTGGAGGAAGGCAGCAGGCAACGAGACTGCCGACGGGTTTCCTAGGAAGGATGGGAGTCCACTACTAGCTTGTTTTTCTT